GACAACTGACGAAATGTAATCTGGACCAGTAGGTTGGGAGTTAGAGCCGAATACGCTTTAAACTTACTCGAAAAAGGGCGTTTCTGGGGCAAAAATTCAAAACGGCCCCCGAACCACCGTGTGGCTCTCACGGACAGCTTCCCCATGAAAAATAGGACTTGTGACAACTGAAGGAATGTAATCCGAACCCGTAGGTTGGGAGTTAGAGCTGAATTCGCCTTTAACTTGCTCTAAAAAAGGCATTTTGGGGGCAAAAATTCAAAACAACCCCCGAACCACCGTGTGGCTCTCACGGACTGCTTCCCCATGACCCCATAACAAATAGGACTTGTGACAACTGACGAAATGTAATCTGGACCAGTAGGTTGGGAGTTAGAGCCGAATACGCTTTAAACTTACTCGAAAAAGGGCGTTTCTGGGGCAAAAATTCAAAACGGCCCCCGAACCACCGTGTGGCTCTCACGGACAGCTTCCCCATGAAAAATAGGACTTGTGACAACTGAAGGAATGTAATCTGAACCTGTAGGTTGGGAGTTAGAGCTGAATTCGCCTTTAACTTACTCTAAAAAGGGCGTTTTGGGGGCAAAAATTCAAAACAACCCCCGAACCACTGTGTGGCTCTCACGGACTGCTTCCCCATGACAATTACGACCTGTGATAACTGACGGAATGTACTTAGGATCCATAGGCTTGGAGTTTGAACCAAAAACACTTTACACTTAGTGGAAAAACTCGCAACACTTAGTTTAAAGAGCGACAACTTTATGAAAATAACATCTACTTATTCTAATAATTGTCTTTATATATTTATAGGACGAAGAAATTACATATTAGATTGTTTATGCAGTTAGTTGGAATAAATATTGCATGATTCATATATATATGTGCTTTCTTTTATTTCCAAGAAGACATTTCTCGATTATTCTACCTTAAATGCATGTTAGAACATGTTCCCTATGGCTGACTGGATTGATATTATGTAACCAATTCTAATGTTTTGTTTTTTGTTTTTTTTTTGTAGATGGCTTTGTTCCGTGGACTTAGAGAATGAGATCCTCTGTTCCAAATTTTTATAATTACACTACCTAATTAATTTTAAATTAAAATTTAAATCTATGTAAAATTATGCAACTGTGTAATACACACAAAAATCAAGTGCATGTGTAGTGTTCATTTTCCAACTTTAAGCAGTTTTGCATGTGCATGAAATGTCGTAATGCATTCTTATTCAGAAAATCACATTTTTCAAGATTTTTGTTTTTTGAGATTCTCGCGTGATATTATGATTGTATATATATTGGGATAAAGTGACAGGAAGATTTAGAAATAAAAGATCTGACACGAGTTTAATGATATGAAAGCACCATGATTTAATGCACATCTAAATTTGATAAGAAGAGAATAAAGAAGTTAATAAAAAGTTTGTGTAAGATAAAGCAAAATACCAGAGCTGTTAGTATCAGCAATGCATAAGTCTTGCAAAGGACTAGGTTCAAAGGAATGGGCAAGAGAGCAAAAACTGATCAGAGCTACCAAAGTCAATAACTGAGATTTGATTTCCATCTTGAAAAATGCCTTTTTTTTTTCTTTTTTTTTTCAGTTTTTGTAACTAATAAAACTAAGAAATATTTAGTGGTATGCACACAAATTCAGAACTTAGAGCTTGAGTGTGGAGATGTGAAAAGCAAACATGGGTTGGGAGAGTTGGATGATAAAGTTATTATTTTACTTGTCTTTAATTTTAATAATTTACCGTCCTAGAAAACAGAAGAAATCTGCATAGGTACTCAACTTCCCCAATTGGCCACTTTTATTAATAGTAATAGTTGGTTTGGGATTCTCTATAGGATATTGTGTGGGAAATTTTCCGACCACACTGCCAACTCAGTAATTCAGCTGGAGAGCACTGGCAGAATAGATGGCACCTGACTGACCTGCAACAGAAATATAAGAATCCCGCGGTGGTTCGTCCACCCGGGGCACTCCGACGATCAAGTCAGTATATCTCTCAAAGATAATCAATTATTCAACTCACAAGCTTGAGCCTAAAAAGCATACCTTAGACCCATGGGGGTGCCTCTCTTTTATAGCCAACATAAACCTAGTCCCAATAGACCCATAGGGGTGCCTCTCTTTTATAGCCAACATAAACCTAGTCCCAATAGAAACCTAACTTCTATGGACTCAGGATTACTGCTAATTTTGGACTCTTAGTAAGATTAGGTTAAACTCTCTAAGAGTCTTATCTTAATATAAACTGAAGTCTTCTCTCATTCTAGGACTCTTGTCCCTCATCCAGGTTGAGTTCCCTTTTCATTCTAGGACTCTTGTCCCTTATCCACTTATCTCGGATTCCGATATCTTCGGAGATAACCTCTGCCTTGCCGAGATCACGTCGGCGTCACGACCAGGACACGTGGCACCTCGGCTGACACGTCGGCGTCACCTTGCCACGTGTTGGTACTCAGAAAATATATCCCCACAGATATGAAAATATAGACTAATTTTCACATTCCCCTCTTATCTTCTGGGACTCATTATCCCACCGCTTATTTCAAAAATAATTTTATTCTCTTTTTATCTTGTGTGCCAATTACGTGTGACCTTTTGATGCACAACCACATAAATATATATAATATAGTGATTAATTCTTTAATCAAAATAATCAGATACACCTTGAAATTAAGTTAAACTTAGATCAAACAATAAAAATTAAGATAAACAACAATGAGATTACAAAAATTTCTTCTTTTTTTTTTTTGAAAAAAAGAAAGTCTTAAAAAAGATGAATAACATTTCTTGGGTTGAAGACAAGCTAGCTCAGTTTTTGAGTCAAAAGGCAGATATGATCACTTTTGCTTGTTAGTTTTGCAATTGCTTTTGCATTCCATCTCTTTTATAATTCATCACCTAGAAATTTAGTATTAGTTGGTAGAATAAAAATATTTTGAAAGTGATTGTGCCTGAGTTAAATTTGATTTAAATATTTTGTATTGTTCAGTTCTTTATAAATCCTCCAAATGGCAACAAAATTTTTATTTTTAAATATATATATATATATATATATATAATTTGTTTTTCTTTAACATTTTTCTTGTTGGAAATTTAAAAGAGTTACAATTTCAAAACATGAAGAAAAGCCCTTGGTACTTTTGCAAAACAGAAGCAGAATCCGAAATACAAAAATTTATTGTAGTAAACCAAACAACATTGCTCTGAAAAAACAAAACAATATTTATAAATAATAGGAATGAGGATTGAAACTGGAAAAATTGAAATTGTATAACTTATAGAAAATATATTATAGAATAGGAAAACAGATGAATGATTAAGGCTATCATTTGACGCTATATCCTTGAAACAGAATTCATCCCTCGCACTGGTGCTTATGAATTTTCAAATGCCTATCACCTAAAATACATTGATCAATGCATATTGAAAAAGCACTTCTGTCGATGTGTTTAGTGAATCAATTGAGTTGAGCTGATTAATAAAGTTATTCAAAATTTCATTGGATAATTTAGTAAGTTTTTATTAAATATATTTAAGTTTGGCTTATTTATTAGTCTAATTGAGTTGAGTTTGAAAAACTTAAATTTTTATAATGTATATAAACTCATCAAATTATCAAGTAATAAGTGTTATTTATCTTTTCTGTCTAATTGAGTTGAGTTTGAATAACTTAAATTTTTATAATGTTTATAAACTCATCAAATTATCAAGTAATAATTGTTCAAATTTAAATTGAAAATATGAAAGGTATAGGGCACTGGGCCATAAATTTAATTTTGAAACTTTGGGGGCAACAACTCCAAGCTTCAAGTTTTTAGGGCCATAAAAACAATAAAAATTTAAAAGATCATATTATTTTAACCTATGTGTCCACTATTTTACCTATTTGTTCAGTGTCACCTATTATTATTTTTATTCAAAAACTATTTAATTTGATTTTAAAAAAATGACAAAATTAAGCCTTATATTTTTTATATAAAAATACCAAATATCAACACTTTTCATTTGATAAAAAGGATTTCTAAATTGAAAACACAATAGAATATCTAAAATCTTTTTGAATTTAAAACATAAACAGAATATCTAAACAAATTGAAAATACAAAGTCTTACAAATTACTAAGGGTACTCGTAGTTTGGCTGTTCGGTTACGGCTAAAGGAACTTCAAATCTGTCATCCGTCCAAAACTAGGCATATTAGAAAAAATTAATTCGCAACCATCCGCTCGTTATCATGCATCCATAAAAAATGTGATCAATTTGATTTGGTTAATTTAAATGGATCGAAATATTCGCTGAAGTTTCATTTAACATTGGCTAATATAATCTTTGTTTGGCATTGGCTTTTTTAGCTGACTTTTTTATGTTAGGACTTTTTTAGTCTAACTTTTTTAGCCTCGTTTGGTTTGGCTTTTATGGTTTTTTTTTTTTACTTTTGTGAGAGAAAAAGTGTAATGATTATAGTTTGGATGTGACATTTTGTCTTATTGACTTATGTAGCCAATTTTGTCTTTTTTGTACTTTTTTAGCCAAAAATCTAAAATCAAACGAAACTATAACTAATTTTTTGTGTTGAGACTTTTTTAGCCTTGTATGGTTTGAATTTTTTGACTTTTTTAATTTTTATAAAAAAAAATGTAATAATTAGAATTAGATGTAATATTTTTCTTATTAATTAATTTAGCCTATTTATCATTTTGTGCTTTTTTAAGTCTAAAAATAATAGCCAAACCAGGGTTGAGTATCCTAATTTTTTTCGTTTTGGCTTTTATCTATCTTAAAAAATAAATAAATAAAAAATAATAATCTAACAAAGGGCGGCTTAAGAAAATATTGACTTGAGTTGTTATTCATTTATTTATTTATCATTTATTTATTTATTTATTTATTTTTGTAGAGAGTGAATCAGCCTTTTGAACTCCTCGATGGAAAAAACCCTTTGAACGCAACCATTTTAAAGTCTGACCGTTTTTGTACCCAATTTGAACCATAGTTGCTTGAAAAAATTGAATTTAAACACCATAGTCGGGACTGGAAGGTCCCCAATTGATTTCTCAGAAAAATGGCCGACGCAGGAGAGAGATATTTATCGTATTTCCTGACGATTTCAAGAAATATATGTACAAGGGACTCAACTGGTTGCCCTTGTACTTTTCTCCTTTATCAATAGATTTGTGTGGAGGGGTTTTCTGGAGCCGAGAAGACGACGAACCCCAACGTCCTTCTACTCTCCCCGACGGCGGTGAGTTACTCCTATCTCTCTTTCTTTATTTGTTATGATTATTATTTTTAGATTTGAATATTTATTTATTTTATAGTTTAGTCGTTTCAAGTCAATTTAAATCAATAATGTTTCCTTGTTTTGAAATCAATCCTCTCCTGAAATTTGTTTGTTTTTGTCAGATATTTCCAACTTAAACAAGAAGATCAGAGATTTGCTTTCCAAAATTACGCACGATGTCTATTTTGTTGGTTCTCCGGTACTAGTTCAATTTTGGGCACCCATAACAACAAAAGAGGGCCGGTCTTTTCTTACAGCTCGAAACCAACCTTTCTCTCTATTAACACCATATAATAGTCGACTTGCTATTGACGGACTTTGTGGGTATAGGATGATCTGTATGGATTGACATTGATTTGGATGGGGGGAAGACTTGTGAACAACACCTTCCTGCCCGAGTGTTCATGCATCAATGCCGCGAATCCACTCCTAATGTGGAGTTTTACTCTATCACTGAGTATCCACAGCGTCACGATGCTCTACGTTGCGGACTCCGACAATCTTTGGCTTTCCCAGTCTTTGAATCTTCTACCCAAAGGTGTGTTGGCGTAATTGAAGTAGTGACACCAGAGGAACACCTTAGATTACTAATTTGTCACGACTATTTTCGGTTCGGAATATATCAAGATTTTGAGGTTAGTTCCCCACTCATTCACAAATTGGCATTTTCAATATCTTGTTAATATTGATTACTCATTACACTCTCTCTTAGAACAGCTACAGACTACAGTGGTGCGGTGTGGTGTGTTTGTTTGTGTAATAAGTTGGTGGGGGTTTGCCTGTTCAAAGGGAAAAATAATGCTTTAACGCAAATGTTAAACACTCTCTTCAATTTGTCATGTGTTTGTTAACTATGCTTGGAGGGGTTAGCACACAAAAGAGTAAACCACATTTTCATTTTTCTAGATCATAAGTGTTTTAAAACACTCATGTTTGGATGGCAAGAACAATTCAATGACGCATGATAAGAATCTTATGTCAAGTCTCTTTCATTTCGTTGTTTGGATGTGTTCTAAAATGAGAGTGCAATTCCTAGTTCGGTTCCCAAACTGGAATGACATTACTACACCAAGGTAGTGTTTTGTTGGTTGGAATGATTGTAGGCTTGAATAGAATGGCTAGTAATCTTTGGCTTTCCAATAAAATGACCATTCTCCTAAATTGGAGAATATGGTGATTTCATTACCAAATTTCCAATGTATATTCTTTCCTTTTTATTGAACCAAACATGGTAATAGATATAACGATGGACTGAATTTTTTCCATTATAGAGTTTTCTATATGCCTCCTTTTATTTGCAAAATATTATTCTACATTTCAAAGTTTACGAGATTCCTCAGTTGTATCTTTCCTTTCCCTTGCAGAAGTTTGGTCTGAAATGTTCAATTGGATTTGCTCACGGGCACATGGAATTCGTAAGTGGCAAACTATAATGCAATGTCAAATTTGGTTTTTTTTATTTTTCTTAAATTAATATGGTGAGGAATATTTGCTCACTAATACCTGATGTGACAATCCTTCAAACTAGGATGAGGATAAAAGGCGAGACTTGGATGAAATCAAGAACGTGTTGAAAATGGTATGTGATGTTCATGATGTACCCTTTGCTCAGGCATGGGTCCCATGCAAGGTATGTTGGCCACACAGGGCTCCCATTGATGGTGGCATCCTTCGTGCAAGTTGTTATTACAAGAAAGATGACTATGGTGAAGATGTAGATGCTTTTCATTATATCAGTTCTTTGTTTCACTTAAAGAATGAGGTGGGGGTTGTTGGGAGAGCACTTTTGTCCACTAATATGGTATTCTGCAGGGATGTAACTCAACTTAGCCTAACTGAGTACCCATTGGCACACCATGCACGAAAGGCTGGATTAAGCGGTTGTTTTGCAATATGCTTGGAGAGCAATTGCATTGGAAATGATGTTTACGTGCTAGAGTTTTTTATGCCGATGAGCAACAATGCCAGTGAAAATCCACATACCTCATTAAGGAAAATATTGGAAGCAATGAAGAAAAAATTTCGTCGTCTTAGGGTTGCTTCTAGAGAAGAACTTGGGGAAGAATTACATATTGAAGAAATTAGTATTCAAAATGGTGAGAAACTTGATCCTGTTCAAATCCCCCAAACCACTATATCTTTGCCTCAGTTGGAACTCTCACAAAGTGAAGTTGAGGTAATGCAAGTGGATTCATCAGATCAACAATTAGTGAATGCCATAAATACTGGAAGCAGTGTTGGCGGTACAGAATATAACAACTTTGCTATTACTTGTACGCAAAAGAAAAGCACAGTAAAAGTGTCAAAAAAAAAAAAGGCAACAAATCTGGAGGCATAGTAAAAACGTCAAAAAGAGATGGCAACAATATCGGAGTTAAAATTAAAATTCTACTAGAGGATATCCTACAAAATTCAGAATTGAGCCTTGAGAAAGCTGCAAAAAGCCTCAAAGGTATGCTTGCACCTTCTTAAATTAAAATGTAATTTTACTTGTGATGTTGGTAGTTATTTCAACTAGATGGACTCTTGTCACGCCCCACTTTTTATTACTCGAAGCCATTACCAAATTCATTAACTTAATTCAATTTCAGAGATAACATGCGGAAATAAACTCATACATTCAATCCGTAGAAATGAATATAAATACTCTCATTCGTATGCAAAGTAAACATTACATGAACATACTCAATAAGTGGATTTCCTTGTAATACTTGTCCCACATTGGAAACCTAAGAGAACTTTTATGTGTATATATAAGTTCTAGGTGGTAACATTTGGGTTAGGCCCCAAGGGACACCCCAAGTTTGTAGAAGGGAGGAATTATAGACAAATGAAACCTTGGCTCAAACCACCACACACGTGCGCGCGGCCGCCATTGTCCGTCCGATTGGCCATGCGGGCGCGGGTGTGGATTGTGGGTCGAGTCGGTTCTAACATTAATTTTTTGGAGAAAATCTGTTTGAATTTTTTCTAAAAATTATTGCTGGAAATTAATTCAAAATTTTGTACCAAATTTGAATTCAAATTTTATGTCCATAATTGTACCACTTCCAGTACAAAATTCCCTACAGATAAACTGGTTTTTAACAGGTTTTAACTG